CAGATCCTTAAGCCAAATGATAAATTAATAACACATATCAGTACATAATCTCATTGGATAAATATTAGAAGTTTTTACAGGAGCAAACTAGAAAAAAAAGTAAATGATAGAGAGGCCTTCCATGGAAATCAAGAGTGCCGTGGGGATGTAAACATCTGGGGTTGAAGTCAAAGTGGCCCAAGCATTAAATATGTTGTCGACATTTACCCGGAATTCCTTTATCTCATCAAACAGATCCACTTTGAAATAATCAACACCTTTTGTTTCACCTCTCTCCATGCTAAGTAAGAGTTACGTAATTCTGATTATTTGCTTGACTTACTGAGGGTGAACTTTGACGAGTGACCTAAGCACAAGGATGTTTAGTAAAACTCAGCTCCTTTCAGGCTTATTGGCAAAGCAAGACAAGGTCCTAAGAGAGTTCCCAAGGAAATCAGTAGATCTCTCCCAAGATAAGTTATTAGGGTGGCGCAAAACTAATCACGATTTTTGCCATTAAAAGTAACTGCAAATTAAAAGTAATGGCAAAAACCGAGATTACTTTTTCACCACCCTAATACTTTGCGTGGAGGACAAATGGCCCCAAGTCTGCTCCCACCTCACATGCATGGGGACTGGAGCAAGGGTACAAGTGGAGGCACATACATGTATATTTATGTAAAAGCTTTAAATGAAGAAACTGTTAAACAAGATACATTATGTCTCCTATTTTGACAAACTGACTTTCATAATGAGATAGAAAGATAGACTTTAATCTAGAATTCTCAGAGTATAGAATCTCTAGAATTTCACACTGGAACACTGCAATGTGGTGAGAGCCACCATCTATCTCCGCTCTACTACCCTCCCCTGCCTATGGCCCATGGTTAAATCCTTCCTCTTTCTAACCCCACTCTGACCTGCATTGTAGGGGGCCTCAAGTGCACATGTGTGGACACTCCAGGCGTTGTGTCCAAGCTCCGTCCATATTTCCAGCAGACAACTGCCCCTTGGCCACCATTAGGCCCAGGGCTATATACACCTGAGAGAACTGACTCAGGGAAGGGGCTCAAGCAGTCCTCGGATGTAAGTTCAAGGCCATTTGGGCAGGAAATTATGAAGGCTTGGGATTTGGATGGCATGTTCCTTTGTTTCAACACATTTCTTGTGCCTAGAGAAGAACATGATGGAGTAGTTCAGGGCGATACCCTCTAAAGCATGGGTCCCTGAGCAGAGGCTCTTCCTTCCCAGATCTGAGGGTGATTCAAAGTGGTGTGGGAGCAAACTGATTTTTTCCATGTCTTTTTTTTCTGTTATAATATGTGGGTGTGTAGAAGAAGCTAAATTGGGAGGGAGATGTGAAATGTTTCTTTGGGTGAAGGAATTTTTGTTTTATTTTATTTTTTTATCTGTTATGGGAAGGCTGTGTGTAGACTACTGATTCTGGAACTTGGCCCAATGTCATGCTAGTTGGACTGGTCTCTGTTTTCTTTTTGGTCATCCCAGATTCTCAAAAGATAATGACTAGCAGCACAGATAACATACTTGTTTTGCAAAGTTTATATTATAGATGTTGGGAGTGTCAGGAGACTATATGATGAGAAATAGGATTTGGATTCATTGTTTTATTCCTTATTGATCCATCAAAGAGGTCATTTAATGGGTAGCCCCAGGTACATCTGATTTCTTATTTAAAATTATGATGTTACATTTCAGGTCAAAGGATGCTGAGAATTTATAATGTTGGTGTTTTCAAAAAAACCCCAATAGGATCTAACATAAAACAGATATAAATAAAATGAAAATAACTGAAGGAGGATTAGAGGTCTACCTCCCTCCCTCCCTCATCAGCAGCCCTGAGGACTTCTGCTCAGAGTTTCTGAAAGTGTCAGCCTCTAGGAGTTACCTGGGGAAACTGTTAAAAATGCAGATTCCTAGGTCTTGCCCCACTGAGTTAGACTTGAGAATTTGCATGTTTGACAAGACGCTACAGTGACTCATATGCATTCTTACATTTCCAGCTACAACAGATCTCAATGGACTAGACTGGGGTTAAGACACACATATTTTTTTTTTTTTTTTTTTATTATTGTTTATTTATTTATTTATTTTTATTATTATTTTTTATTATACTTTAAGTTCTAGGGTACATGTGCATAACGTGCAGGTTTGTTACATATGTATACTTGTGCCATGTTGGTGTGCTGCACCCATCAACTCATCAGCACCCATCAACTCGTCATTTACATCAGGTATAACTCCCAGTGCAATCCCTCCCCCCTCCCCCCTCCCCATGATAGGCCCCGGTGTGTGATGTTCCCCTTCCCGAGTCCAAGTGATCTCATTGTTCAATTCCCATCTATGAGTGAGAACATGCGGTGTTTGGTTTTCTGTTCTTGCAATAGTTTGCTGAGAATGATGGTTTCCAGCTGCATCCATGTCCCTACAAAGGACACAAACTCATCCTTTTTTTATGGCTGCATAGTATTCCATGGTGTATATGTGCCACATTTTCTTAATCCAGTCTGTCACTGATGGACACTTGGGTTGATTGATACACATATTTTTAAATAGTGTTCCAGATGATTTTGAAAGTTAATCTAAAATTTGGAAGCCATTGAAATAAATACTCTCTAAAGTGACCATGCCTGAGGCACGATCTCAGAGTGTGATCCTGGGGTCAGCAGCATCAGCAGCACCTGGAAACTTTCAGAATTGTAAATTCTTGGCCCTCTGATTCCCAGCCGTGAATAACAGTCTCCAGAACACAGTTCAGCTATCGGTGGATTAACAAGTGCTGCAGGTGTTTTTGATGCTGCTAAAGTTTGAAAATCATTTCCTAACAATTCAATAAACATGCATTGACACTCTGTGAACATTCTGTTCTAGGAACATTGAGGGCCTGAAGAAGTCACAGTTCTCAAAGATTTGTCAGTGGTACTTTGTTTGCAGCCTGATTTTGGTTCTGGAGTGATCAAGAGAATGTCAAGTTTCAGCAGGGAGAAAAAATTCTATCTGTGAATATAAAAGTAGCGGTTTTTATAAAGAGTTTTAATTTTGTTCTTTATACTTTCTGTATTTTCCAAACATTAAACAATTTAAATTGGCAAAAACAGTATGTTCCTGGAAAATATGAGCCATTGGCAAAAAGTGATTTGTAAATGTCGTCAGCTGGGTGTGGTAGCGGGTATAAAAGTATCCAAAGCAGGGCAGCTGCTTCCAATTTCCTGAATTTTTCAGGGGTCATTAGTTGGCAGCTGATGTCATGAAGGATTTTGTGGGGTTACAATCGTCTTTCCTTTTGTGCGTGATTTTGACTCTTTCTGAGCAAAAGTCAGGTACGAGTGACCCTTCTATTTTGTTGTTTGAAGGCATAGTTTCTTAGCGGTTGTGGGCCTTTTACTGTTTGCTGTTTTGAGTAGAAGTGACTTTCCAGTGTAGTTTTCTGACTTCCGTAGTGGTATTGCTTTCTCTTGTTTGCTCTCTACCACCCCACAAAGCAAGTGATTTATCTAGTTTATCCTAATGCTTAGGAAAGAGCTAGTTTTATTCTTCCTCTGGATTTAGGTGTTTTCTGTTGTGTTTTCTCACCCTATTCACCCTACCTGTGGAAAAATATTTCTCTGTTTAAGGTTTCAACTTGCTCTTCCACCTCCCACCCTGATCTCCCACTCATAATCCTGCCACCTGCCTCCTGTCCGGCCCTGTTGCCTCCTAAATGGTCATGAGTTAGTGATCATAAATCAGGTTGTGAAAATAAAGTTCTTCATTCTTTCTTCTTTCACTTCTTATTCTCCCTAAGTCATAAAGTTGTTACCATTAATATTAATCGTTTTGTTTACATTCCACTTACTTTTTCCATATTTTACAGTAATCTTTTCTCATCTAAACTATATATTTTTCTTTATTTAAAAAGTTAATGGATAGAAATACTACGTATAAAATACATGTAATTTTGTTATTTCTAGTTTTTTTCTTCATGAAAATACAGTGATGAATTGCTTTATCTATGGGACATGTTTTTGTCTAAAAACGTTTTTTGGATATGCTTCCGGTAGTAGAATTAATGGACACAAAATGAAGAAATGCTGTTGTAGCACCACAGCTGTGAATGTTTTGAGTTGACAGACTCACCACACAAGGTTTTAATCTGAGACTACCTTCCTTGTACATCACAGAAGGATACAGGGTGGAGACAGAGCAGGTGCAGATCTTCATCTTATTGGCAGGTCTAACAAATGCCCCAGGGTACAGTTTCCCTTGTCTCTTCACCCACGTGGGTCGTAGATGTCTGCCAGGGATGAGAGTCAGAGGCCATAGAAGCTGCAGCTTCAGTGCCCTATCAGTCATTTACACCGGCCTAGTTATGTAAACTCAAGGCCAGCACACCAGCTTGAGGCTCCCCCAATCCAGAGTAAACCCCACACAGCAAAAGAAGCAGAGACAGCATCCCATATTTAGCTTAATGTTGAACTTTTTTTTTTTTTTTTTTTGAGACGGAGTCTCGCTCTGTTGCTCAGGCTGGAGTTCAGTGGCGCGATCTCGGCTGACGGCAAGCTCCGCCTCCCGGTTCACGCCATTCTCCTGCCTCAGCCACCCGAGTAGCTGGGACTACAGGTGCCCACCACCACGCCCGGTTAACTTTTTTGTATTTTTAGTAGAGATGGGGTTTCACCGTGTTAGCCAGGATGGTCTCGATCTCTGACCTCGTGATCCACCCATCTCGGCCCCCCAAAGTGCTGGGATTACAGGCGTGAGCCACCGCGCCCAGCCAATGTTGAACTTTTAAGGAAACAGTACTGGAAGGGGAGGAGACAGGTTGTCTCCAGATAAGCTTGAATGGGACTGATCCTTCATTTACAATTTTACCATTTCATCTGAGTGATCATATTGTATCTCTCAAGGCTGTTTTACAGCGGTATCTTTTTTTTTTTTTTTTAATATGCTATGTTCAAACTTTCTCTGGGTGTCCTTTAGCATAAAATTGCTATCTAAATCTTTTTAATATTTTTTTTCAACAGTGTCAGTAGGATGTACTTCCTCTATGTTCTGGGTTGTGGCTGAACCAACTTTACTTGGTCAGGATCATATTTTGCATTCTGATGAAGCATCTCTAGGAACTGGCTGTCCTGTAACCAATGTAACTGCGAAGGGATATGAGTTTAATTACCCTGCCACTGAGTGTGGGATTCAGAAAGAGGTAAGAGCTGCAAGCGTTTCAAATAATAAACTAACCCCTAGGTTGTACCCTGCAGTAGCACTGTGTGTACTGTCAGTGTGAGATATTTATTTATTTATTTATTTATTTATTTATTGAGACGGAGTCTTGCTCTGTCGCCCAGGCTGGAGTGCAGTGGCCGCATCTCAGCTCACTGCAAGCTCCGCCTCCCGGGTTTCGGCCATTCTCCTGCCTCAGCCTCCCGAGTAGCTGGGACTACAGGCGCCCGCCACCTCGCCCGGCTAGTTTTTTGTATTTTTTAGTAGAGACGGGGTTTCACTGTGTTAGCCAGGATGGTCTCGATCTCCTGACCTCGTGATTCGACTGTCTCGGCCTCCCAAAGTGCTGGGATTACAGGCTTGAGCCACCGCGCCCGGCCAGATGTTTTCTTAATATACTATGGCCCGATGACTTTTGGGGAAATCCCTGAAACTTTGCTATATCTTCAGGATCAATGGATGAATGCTGTTAACGTTTTAGTAGTTTATGAACGACAACTTTTAAAAGAGTCAGGATTCTCAGTTTATGCTTGTAAGAGATTGTCTTGGGGATTTTATTTAGCTTATCAGAGCTAACGTTTTCTGTTTAGAATACATTTTCCTGTGGTAGGACTTTTTGTTGTTGTTGTTTGTTTGAACTAACACCCCTAAATGGAAGTGTGTTAATCCTTAAAAAAAAAAAAAAAAAAAAGACAAGTAGAAGGCAGAGAGGTAGCAGTGGTAGTAAATCTACTACTGCGAAAGTAGAAGGAACAAAAATGAATTGAGACAAAATGAGACTTACTGGTTTATGTTTAAATGTAATCTGATGTGCAAATTGTGTCTTCTTTAAAACTTTCAGCTCATCATCTTTGGATACCACTTCAAGCTCTATCCGTAACAATCTTACAGAATTCCAAAATGACCCTCCCTCTACCAATTCTCATTCTCCCTGGAACTTAACCAACCCTAGCTTATTTGGATTGACTCAGATTCCATATTTTCAGGACTCCTCGGTGAGGATCCTTAGAAAAGACAAAACATGGCAGTGTCCACATAGAAATGATCGTATTGACATAAGGAAGAAAAAGCTCGAATCTCTACTAAGGAGGGTATTTGTTGTTTAAATAGTGTCTATGTGATGGGTCTCACATTACATTTCAATCATGTTTAGAAAAAATGCTACTTCCATGTGTCTACATATATCCTGGTCTTGTCAATAAGTCTCCCTTTACCCTAGTTATGACAAATAGACAAAAATCTCTAGTATAGTTTAAACATAATCTGAGTCAATAAACTGTTCACTTTAAGTAGTGCTCAGACACTTGAATAAAAATTTTCAAGTCTTTCAACCCTTCCCTCTAATCCCTGGCACATAGTAGGTCTTCCATTTTCACTGGTCAATGTATTAGTCAATGTGTTTTCTGTGCCAAGTTTATCAAGTGGTTACATTGGAAACTTTTCATTAACTACCTTTCTTTTTTCTCTGTAGGTAGAGGCATCTCATCCGTCACTCCTACTTAATATGTCTCATCCACTAGTCCATGAGAGTGCAAATGTAGCTATATTCTAGGTTCTTCCATGGCAATCCTGATAACTCTGTTGCTACAGCTTACTTAAAATTTAATTTTTGAACCACTCACTACAGATTTATCAATTTTTGGTGCCACTTCCTGAGAGAACATTGGGTTGGGATAGTGCCCAGTGCTTCATATATTTTTAAAAAGTGTTCCTTTTAAACACAGGCCATGCTGCCCTTGCATAGTCTCTTATAATATGATGTCTAAGTATAATTTTTATGTGGAGTTGATCTTACAAATAAAATATGCTGTGCCTTTGCTTCTTGACGACCGGGTTATAATCTCAAAACAACCTAGGCTGGGATGTAGGCATGGAAGGGTCTCTGTCCTCCACCTGCTGTTAGTGTACAAGTCATGTTTTAAATACAGTAGACTGAGAATAATCCTACATAGTTGTTTAATTCCTTTAAGAAAGATTTAGTATCCATGACAGAAATGAACACCGTTGGATCAACCAGGAAATAAGAGTATAAAGTTTGACCTCCTATAGGCCCATGGCTTTGGGAAACAGCGATAGCAGAATATTTCTGTATCTTTCTTCAAGATCAATAGGGTGAGATTAGTTTTTATTCTTGGCACTCCAGGAACTAAGCCTTTAGTGATCCCTTAGGACCATCCTTCTTTATTTCAATGACCACTCTCCAGTTAGTAATAACATCATTCTGGAACATGCTCATGAGGATCTTCTTGAGATATTTCTAACAAAACCTTGAGGGCTCAAGTCCTGCCTGTGTGATCCTATTCATATTGGGAAACTTTAGTCAATAGGGTTTATTGACTAGATATTTGTTATTTGAAAATAACTGGCTGAAGATAGACGTCTTTTAATCTCCATCAGTGTTTCCTGCTGGCAGAACCTAAATGGGAGGCTGGAAAATCTAATTTTTGAACTCTTGGCTCCAACACTGTAGGGCAGAGAAAGGCACAGATGGTAGTGAGACAATAGGCAACCAACACACATAGACCTGCTGCACCAACGCAGTTACTGCTTTCTGTTTTAGTAAGGGGACCAGCAAGGATTTGTGTGTTAATTAGGACTAAAGTTGGTTACAGTTCATAGAAACTGTTCAGTGTTTTCATAGAAAACATTACTTGACATTTTCATCATCCTTTAAATATAAACAGTATATTCATACCCCTCCTGTCCTCCTCCTTCAAAAAACCTCAGTAATTTAAGAATGAAAACTAGCTGGAAAACTCAGAAAATGGTGGTACGAGTGGGTAGTTTCCATTTCAGCAATGAAGACATGCAAGAATGTTTGTCTTAATCAGGACCAAGAGTGGATCGAGTTTGCATATTTAGTCTCTTTCATATATAGCATTCATTTGGAAGGAACTTGTTACTTTCATTCATAAAATATTTCTTGTTTTTCCATTGTCCCTTAAGCCAAAAGCCCACCAAGTCCAGAATGGGAGCCAGGGGTGGTAAAGGCAGACAGAGAGTGAGAACCGTAATCAGTGTCCCAAAGCTGTGATGCTTCATTTTTTTTTTTTTTTTAATTATTATACTTTAAGTTCTAGGGTACATGTGCACAACGTGCAGGTTTGTTACATATGTATACTTGTGCCATGTTGGTGTGCTGCATCCATCAACTCGTCAGCACCCATCAACTCATCATTTACATCACGTATAACTCCCAATGCCATCCCTCCCCCCTCCCTCCTCCCCCTCCCCATAATAGGCCCCGGTGTGTGACTTGAAAGGAGGATTGCTGGGCGTGATGGCTCACACTTGTAATCCCAGCACCTTGGGAGGCCAAGGTGGGCGGATCACCTGAGGTCGGGAGTTAGAGACCAGCCTGACTAACGTGGAGAAACCCGGTCTCTACTGAACATACAGAATTAGCCGGGCGTGGTGGCTCATGCCTGTAATCTCAGCTACTTGGAAAGCTGAGGCAGGAGAATCGCTTGAACCCGGGAGGTGGAGGTTGTGGTGAGCCAAGATCGCGTCATTGCACTCCAGCCTGGGCAACAAGAGGGAAACTCCGTCTAAAAAAAAAAAAAGATTTAAAGCTCTAAAGAGAGAGGCTAAGCGGGGCGCACGGCGCGCCACTACTCTGCGGGCCGGCGGTGGCGGTGCCGGCAGCGCGGAACGCTGGCGCGTAGGCCAAGGCTTCCTATGCGTGCACTGAGCGCTGAACCCGCTGTGCTCGCTGTGGCTCCCGCCGGTTGCCCCTTCCTGCTGACCCTTCTGCTCCAGCTCCTGCCTCCCGGCCTGCTCCTGGGCTGCACGCTCTTCCAGGATCTGATCCGCTTTGGGAAATCCAAGTGTTGGGGGCCGCCACGCCCCACCGCCTGCCGCGCCTTTGATGTTCCCAAGAGATATTTTTTTCCCACTTCTCCCACTTCTGTATCATCTCAGTGCTGTGGAATGGCGTCCTGCTTTGGTGCCTTACTCCATCTCTGTTCCTGGGAACATCTTTTCCAAGCTGGCTTTATGGTTTGCTCGGGATTCTCGCGGCAGCACAGTTCGGGGGAGGGAAGCTGGCGCTGTCTGCGTTCTTACTGCTGGTATTTTCTGGCTTATTGGATGAGGTGTTAAGTTTATTCATTTTATGCAGATATCCTATTACAGTCAAAGCACTAACGCTTTGCATTTATATGTACTGTGCTATGGGGGAAAGAACCTTATGATTAAATAAGACACATATCAAATGCATAGTCAATCATCCCCACCCCCATCCCTGGAGCTGTAACCCAAAACTGTTAAACTAAAAATCTTTTTAGTATATCTTTAAATACATGCATGTCAAGAACATTCAAAAGTTCTTACAACAATTCTGATAGGACATTTTCTCTCCCATCAATTAACACCAGTTAATTAAGATTAATCTGTGGCCCAGTCTATTTAAATAAATGCCATATTTATTTTACTTGTTTAGAATTTGCCATTCTCAGAAACAAAACTCTCTGTACATCGGAAATGAAAAGCATATTGCAGTTTGGTGTTAATTTCCATGTGAATGTCACGTATAATTTTAAATAAATTATTTGGGGAAAAACGTATTTTATTTTTAGCATGCAATTTTTATGCCCAGGTTAGACTAGGGATTTGGCTGATGTTCTGGAATCTCATTGTACTGTTAAGTAATGAGCATCCCCCATGACGCACCCTGTCAGGGGTTGTGAGAAAACTGCAGTGTTCAGTTTCCCACCCATTTCCTTTTCCTGCTGTCTCCCTCTCACTCATCCCTGCTTCTTACTTTCCCTTTTCCTTCTTTGCCCAAACATTACATTTCCAGGCAAAGATAAAAGAGGAAATAGTGATGTCCTGAAGCGGATTCAGAACGAAGTAGTATGGCCTTTGGTGAAAGCTTCACCTATGGGAAATAAAATTGAGAATGGTGTTGTGCTTGCAATGTCAGAATCAGTACTGTTTTTTTGTGTGTGTTGGTGAAAATATTCCATATGCCAAAAGGGAGAGCGTCAGGGAGTTGGCAAATTCTTCGCAAGGATCCAGAAATAGTTTAGAGTGGGAGAGTCATGATTTTCCCGTTGGCTTAGTTGAATAGCCGTAACCTTTCATTTTCTACTACCACTAAGTTAGGGGGAATGACATTGAACTACCTCATTAGCAGCCTTGCCTGGATTAACTACTGAGTGTAAAAGTTTACGGAAAATAGCCTTTGTTTTTGTTGAAGCTCATCCTACACACTAACATTTGCTTACGGTAAGCATGGATTATTTTGTCTCTGCCAAGCTGTGTTCTCTATTAGATTTTTACTGCATTGTGTGGTTACTGCTAAGAATTCCTACAAAAATGCCTTTGCAGATATTTTTGTATGTAGTTTAAAAGATATTTGGTTTAAGGAGCCTGCAACATTTGCATAAAGTGCCTGAAAACCCAAGAACCACTGATAAGTGAGATCCCTCAAAATAAGCTGATATATTACAGAGGACCTTGAAACAGAAAAAAGTAAATTATATTAAAAAAGTTCTAAAGAGAGAAAAAAAGCACTTCCGTTGATCCCCCACCCCCCTGGATTGGTCCCATCCATGGGAAGTTATCTATATCTTATACATTTATGTACATATCTTCCATTTTTGAAAGATAGGGTTATAAAAGAATAAAAATTTCAGAAATAAATAGTGTCTAGATAGATAACATAAAAAGAAGAAAAATGATGAAAACTGAGGTAGTTTGGAAAGCCTAAACCATTTTTTTGAGGGTACAGTCCATATTTAGCCAAAGCACAAATGTACATCTTCTAATTTTCAAAAGAATGCAGAAGTTTGGTATAAAATTTCCTGCTTTTTAATGTTGGTTATTAAAACATTTAAAAAGCAATAGTAATAGGAAAGAGTCATCAGTTACATTGGATTAAAGTCCCACCCTACTCCTGCATGACCTCATCTTAACTAACCACATAGGCAATGACCCTATATCCAAACAAGGTCATATTCTAAAGTACTAGGGGTTAGGTCTTCAATATATCTTTTTGGGAGACCCAATTCAGTCTATAACACCAAGTTAGATTGTGGCATCCTCTGCGGAAGACCCCTCATTGTATCTATCCGGCTCACAGTAAAAGTCATACAGTCTTTGTTATGGCCCTTAAGGCCCTAGCACTCTGTCTCATCTCCCATGGAAGAGGGCTAGAAAATGCCAGCCCTTATCTACCTTGCTGCTCCATCCTCCTAATTCAGCTTTAGCTACCTGATGTTCTTGCCATTCATTGAGTGCATGCTCCTGCCTTAGGACCTTTACATCTGATGTTCCTTCTGCCTGGAATTCTCCTTGGCCTCTGTATTAGTCTGTTTTCATGTTGCTGATAAATACATACCTGAGACTGGGCAATTTACAAAAGAAAGAGGTTTAATAGAATGACAGTTCCACGTGTGTGGGGAGGCCTCACAATCATGGCAGAATGTGAAAGGCATGTCTCACATGGCAGCAGACAAGAGAGTTTGTGTGGGAAACTGCTGTTTCTAAAACCATCAGATCTCATGAGCCTTATTTACTATAATGAGAACAGCATGGGAAAGACCCTCCCCCATGATTCACTTACCTCCCACCAGGTTCCTCCCATGACACTTGGGAATTGTGGGAGTTACAATTCAAGACAAGATTTGGGTGGGGACACAGCCAAACCATATCATTCCATCCCTGGGCCCTCCCAAATCTCATGTCCTCACATTTCAAAACCAATCATGCCTTCCCTACAGTCCCCCAACGTCAGTATTAACTCAGAAATCCACAGTCCAAAGTCTCATTTGAGACAAGGCAAGCCCCTTCTGCCTATAAGCCTGTAAAATCTA